ATGGACTATCAGAGTCAAAACACCCCCCACCACCCAAAATGGACTGCTGCAAAACAGTTGCAGGATGACACTGAATGTTTTATATTTTTTTACAGACATACAAAGTATTTTAAATAACCACTTAAGAGCTAAAATGTGCTGTCCACGTATGTGGCCATTAAGGCCTAGGAGGTTAAACCTAGAAAATGGGGTAAAATAGGTGCCCTTTTAATAAAATCTCCGTTCTTCAGCATTCAAACTCTAAACTGTTTTTATGTGATCTGTTGGCAGGGAAGCCCCGGTGGCGTGCGGAGTGTGTGCGAGTGTGTGTGGGGACTGTTCGGGTGACCCAGTCTCTGTGGAAGTGTGCCAGGATCAAAAGGTTGAGGAACGCCACCAAACACCCCATTTTCCCCACTTGCCCGCCTCTCTCCATCTGTCCGTTTTATTTCTCCCCCTCTTCAGTCGTTTGGAGGGCCACAAACATAAACCATGTCAGTTCTCTTTCTCCCTCTCTCTGCGGAGGAGGAGGTGGAGAAAAGATGGAGAGAGCGATGCCATTAAACAGAGAACATGAGGGTGGGCAACCCTCACCCCGTCGCCCTGTGCAGAGTGACGGCTGCCCCGGCTCCGCCCCCTGGGCCCATGAACTCTGTATCTATCTTTTGTTCATTTTATTTTTATTGATTAAGAAAAAAAGAAAAACTAAAGAGAGGAGGCAAGGTCTGAGTGCCTTCCTTCCCTCAGGACTGTTCTGCATGAATGAGCGAGCGATGGGACGTGTAATGTGTGCTGGTCAACCCCTCAGTTTCTGTCTTATGTTTTTTTTCTTTTGTTTTTTTATGCTTTGGTTGTTGTTTTTTTTAAGTTGGGAAATTGACTTCATATTTCTTTTTTCTTGTGGAAATCGTATGAATAACTGTAGTTTTTTGACTCTTCTCCTGTTATGTCGCTCCATTTCTCGTTTTTAGCGCTGTCCGTCTCGTTCCCTTTCTCACTGTCTGCTCGTCTAGGTTCTGAATGACCCATAACTGATCTGAATTTAGTTGTAAACAGAATTGTCTTGTCTAAAATGGTGTTGTATATTGAAAAGATTTTTTAAAGAAAAAAAAGCGTTATTAATAAGAATAAAGTACTTGACTGTGAAGGAGTGTTAAGAAGATTGCACAAGCGCATCATGTTTTCATAATGTGTATGTGTGTTCGTATGCCCCGTTCGTCCCCTTTTGAGATAAAGGCTTTCCGACGGGCCCGGATTTCACTAACCTTACATAACCACTGCCAAGACCTTCCAAAAAGCACAGGGCCGCTGTTCAAATATTTAAGTTTACCTCCTGCTCCGAATATGTGGAAATTGGCAGCACTGTCATTTTCGTTCTATTTGATTCTAGCTCCTCTTACAATCTCCACCATGGCAACAGCCACAATACATCATTCCAGAGCTGCAGCGATTCAAAAAATGCTTGAATGCTGAACAGAATTTTAATCCTAAATCTTAAGAAGTTCCGTCTTAAGAATGGAATTCCATCGAAATGAGGCATTAATATGAGTGATGTCAGGCTAGTATGAGACGTAAGGGTGGACACGGAGACATTATAAAAAGAGGGAGGATCAAAGCAAGTCTGCAGACGAGGGACTACTGCCCAGTGCGGGTGATCAAGAATGCAGTTGACGATTAGAATACAGACAAAACAGCCCTCAGATGTGTTCGCTATTAAGGAAGCATCGGAGTAACGTCTTGCTAGAAAGTGTTTAGGCGACTTCTTGTTTAGGATAGATTGCTTTTAGTGACCAACAATTAGAACTAGTAGATGCAGTTTTTCTGTGTGTGTGCAGAACTAGTATATGCATGCACACTCCACTAGGTGGCAATGAAACACAATAGTCAAAGTATCCTCAAAATAAATATTTTAATAACATGAATAGTATCAAAATATTTCATCTCAATATTTCGCCAGCCCCAAGTGATTTTGGGACAGAGTAATTTGCAGCGGTAACCACAACATTTTGCATTACAACACTTGCAGGGCTGGATGCTCCGGGGTCAGTCTGAATAACTCTGATAGATTGAAAGCTCCAGAGAGAAAATCAACTCATGTTGTGGTCTGTAATGGATATGTTCTGTTAGAATGCCACAAACATCAGTGCAGATCATGGAAAAGTCAAATATGCTGGCTGTGTCTGAAATCACAAGCTTCCCTTATATAGTAGGCAAAAAAGGTACATGTTAAGAGTATGCCTCAATCCACTACAGCTGTGAATGGCAGCAAGGTTGGCAAATGTACTTCTTGGTTGGACTTATGAGATCTCAGATAAAGCCTTCATAATACTTCCAATTTTCAATATGTAAAGCCAATCAATACATTTATTCCGCTACGATTCATACAAACGTGGCAGTAAAGTTATTCCTTTTAGAATTCTGAAAGGAGATTTTTAACATCCTTCTATTCATCGGAAAATCTGAAAAAGAAAAACAAAGTCAGTTTTCACAAATTTAGAGCAGCTCAACTGTTGATTCTTAAGAAAATGCACAAAAACAGAATGATTTATGAAGGCTCATGTGAGTAATGTCCACATGAAATCCAGCACAATATTTTAGTCCAAAAAACATAAATGATCTGAAGCTTTTGAACGGTAGTCACACTTGTGTTCTGAACATGACCCTTGCTGCGTCCCAATTTGCATACTTATACTACACCCTGAAAGTATGTTCTCATTTTGTGAAGGAAACAGAAGTGTGTAACAGCAAAAAAATATGCAAGCTTTGGGACATTCTACTTCCTCGTTAACAGATTGTTATGTTGCTTGGTTATGAGTCCTGTCAATCATCCACATTTCTGTCATATTTTTCTACCTTATTGGTGAAGCAGCAGCATGCTAATCTGCCATTCACATGTTTCATTCAGAGAAATCTCCTCAAGTCTTTGGATAGTTCTGCATTCAGATGTTGATGTCCAAACACGTCTTTATAGAAGTTCAGTATTGTTGTAGATTAAATAAAACGGAAAACGCAATAAAATTTTTAGTTGGCTAGATATTAATTAGCAGTCATACAAACATCTTTACCGAAGCCTCTCTTAACAGTTGGTCTTGCACGTCCATCATGTTTGTAGTTCTAATCGAATTCATTAGATGTCCAATGTACTGTGGGCAATATCAGTGATTAGAGTCTGGGCGCTTCTACACTTCACATTTTTACCGGAAATAGTAAACCATCTGGGTACCTTTGGCATACTCTTTTCAACATATGATTTGGGACATATTAATTCTATTTTTAAATACTATTTAGAAAGGATAGTATGCCAATTGGGACGCAGCAAAAGCAGTTCGCAAAGGGCACTTTGGATTGAAAACAATCATGACCACTATATTATAGCACTGTTCCAAAATAGGATCTCAAACTCGATTCCTGGAGGGCCGCAGCTCTGCACTGTTTTGCTCCAACCCTAATCAAACACTTTAGATCCAAATATTCAAGATGTTCAAGACTACTAGAGACTATGAAGCTGCAGTCGCACTGAACTCTTCTTGCCATAGATTTCCATTAATACACACGCAAATGAGTCGGAACGGAAACGCAAGTTCGTGCGTCAAGTTCCGCACTTCGATGCGTTGCAAAGTTCAAGCTTGGTGAACTTTTACCTGCAAAATCGCATCACTTATTAATTAGATTTAAACAAATTTAAATATAAACAAATCGCTCGCTTTTTTTATGTCTTATCGTCTTGCTTAATCCCGCCCCTTTTCGCATGGTCGTAGGACAGAATTTTGCAAGCACAAACTCTAGTGTGACCCCAGCTTAAAGCAGGTGTAAGCTGAAGGTGGTTGGAAGTAAAATATGCAGAGCTGCGGCCCTCCAGAAATTGAGTTTGAGACCATTGGAATAAAGGATTCCAAAAGGTACAATAGATGGCACTTCACTCTGCGCATCTTTTTGTTGTAGATGACAGAAGTGAGTTCTGAACAAATGTTTTTGTTAGCTACACCTTAAACATAGGGTGTCCAAACTCTGTCCTGGATGGCCTGTGTGCTGGAGAGTTTATCTCCAACTTGCTTTAACACACCTGCCAGGAAGTTTCTAGTATATCTAGTAAGAGCTTGACTAGCTGGTTCAAGTGTGTTTGATTAGGGTTGGAGCTAAACTCTTCTGGATATTGGCCCTCCAGGACTGAGTTTGGACAACCCTGCCTTATACCTTCAAAGCTCTGAAACGGTTAGGGCAGGCTTGCACAAACCCAGTCCTGGAGGGCCGGTGTCTTGCAGAGTTTAGTTCCAACCCCTCAGACCCCAATCTAAAGCTAATCAAGCACTTTCTAAGTATACTAGAATCTTCCAGAGAGGTATGTTGAAGCAAATTGAAGCTAAACTATGCAGGACATCAGCCCTCCAGGACTGAGTTTGGGCACTTTTGGATTAGGGCATAGGGGTGATCCCTTCAAAATAGTACACAGCCTATATTGCTCCCTTTAAATTACACTTCAGTGGTCGCCAGTAATTCCATCACTGAACAATATTAATGTTCTCCTGCTGGAAAGTGAACAGCAAAGCGCATGTCAGGCAAAAAAAAAACCTCTAATAGCATTCTCTCGACAAATACATTCAGGTTGACTTTGGTTCTTGGGTGCAGTCTCCAAAAATTTGGCTCAAAGTTGATGTTTTTGATGCGTTCACAAAGCATCAGAGTCAGCGCGCTTAGATTTCCAGCCGTTCAACATCACATAAGTAGATCGCTTTGCTCTTTTATAGTGGGACAGATGAAAGTCTGTGGCACTGGACGTTTAGAGGTGAATTCTTTGGCCTCTGAAGTGCTTGGTCCCCTTGTTGTCAGGGTTGAATCGACTGGACACTTGCCCAGGAGTCTTTGGTTATGTTTGCATGGTTACACAGTGTTTAAACAACCTCATCTTTCGACTGACTTCTACCCAGAGGTCGGTCCTAATGTCTAACTTACATACATTTTCAAGAGCGTCTCTAGTCAGTCTGCTAGATGAAATGTACAAGTTCTAGTCAGTGTTTGGCGCTTTATGGCAGTGGCGGAGGAGAGGCGGAGGGCTGCTGGACTCTTTTGCTCCTCTTGCTGACTGTGGTGAAGCTGCAGGGCTGCAGGTCGGGTTGTTCTCCTGGAGGAAAGCGTTTCATGAAATGCACGTCCCGCTGGTTGGGTAACGTGTTCGGGCCTCTTCGAGGCCGACCCTTTTTGGTAAAGCCAACGTACCAGCCTACATAGTGTGCTGACATCCAGGCCGTGTAGTTATTCTCAAGCATTATCTCGATGAAAACGCAGCCTCCGTTTACGCTGCTGTCTTTCTGGAATTAAAATAAAAGTAGATTCCATGAAATTATCTCCAGCTATATCTGCTATCTTTACCCATGATTTAATCCAAAGTTGAAATGGCACTTACAACATTTGCAAAAAAAGAAAAGATCCCATTTGTTCAAAAGCGTTAAATCAGCACTTTCTGAATTATCACGATTTCTGAGTGGTTAATTGAGAAACCACTTCTTTTTTTTCTTTTCATCAGAGTTTATCAGACATCACAGGTTATTTTGTGGTTGGAGGCTGGTGAATAATGTTGAAAAAACTGTTCTGTAAGACTTTACAAAATTATTTCAAGAATTCACACTTAGCTGATGATTGATTATAAAGCTTGTTTGGCATGCTGTCCCGGGAGAGAGCCCTGAGCTGATAAGATCTTCGAGCCAGGGGCTCCCTCCCGTTTGCAAGGCGAGAGGGGAGTTTAAGTTCAGGTAGATCTTGAGAATTCCACTGCTGTAGTAGCTAATGAACAGATAGTGATTGTCTTAAGAGATAACTACTTACTAGGAGCATGTCTATGTTGCCGATTTGGATTAGTCACTTAACTTATTTTGCATGTTTTTGGACGGTGGGAGGAACCCGGGGGAAACCCACATAAGCACAGGGAGAACACGTAAACTCAGAAACTTTCGCTGGCTTGGTAAGGACTAGAACCAGTGACGTTCTTGCTGTGAGGAAACAGTGCTAACCACTGGGCCACCGTGCTACCCATCTAGAAAAGGAGGAGGAAAAGGGGTGATTCTTTAAAACGTAAATGGCTGTTGTATGGAACTTAGGGTATTTATAGTGGCTTAGGAATCATTTGATTGGTGAATTATAACTTGAATAATGCGGGGCCAGCTGCAAGCAATCATAAGCACGTGATCCTCTTGAAATTAGTTTATAAGTAAACTTCACTTTGAAGATGGACTTTCACTCAGGTGTTTGCAGAACTATTAAAACAACATTTGTGATGGTGTGAGATGATACAAGCACATCGTATTCGGAGATGCAGTCACATGACTATTTTTAATGTGCATCAAGGAATTTGCAAAAATTTGCTTCCATCATAATTTATGCATGTTTTTTTTTACTTATAGGATAAAAAGTTCATCCTACTCAATTGTGTGTGAAAGTTTTTCATGCACATTTTTTTTTAATTAATACAAATTTTACAGCTTCCATTCAGTATTTTTATTTTATGCGAATTCATAAAATTCACTTAAAAATTTGTGTATGGCCATAGGCCTTTCCATTTAGAGAAAGCAACACTAAAAAAATTTAGCAGAAACAAGCTTGTATACCAGCATATCAGCTTTCGGCAGTTAACCCTGGGTTACTGATACCTGTTTTAACCCGGGGTAAAAGAAAGCTTTAAGCTTTGTGTCAGTTTTAATCAGGGTTGATGAAACCCTTTGGTGGAGCAAAGCTGGCACTGTTTTGTGGTGTTAACCACAAAAGCAGTATTGATGCTGGAAAACAAAGCTTTTCAAAGATGCACGTTAACTGAACCAGTTGTGTTGTAAAATGGTTCATTGTGTAGAAGCATTTGGTATTTACATATCGTTTTATCTGAGACTTCTTAAGTGTTTTTCACAGTAAGTACATTAGAATGCTCAACAGAACAGAAAACTGACCAATTGTGCTTTAAGGCAAGGCTTTTGCAAATGTTTCATATTAAATATAGTGTAACTAACCAATCTTTATAAAGCATCAGGTGTCTGTGTAATATTATTCTTTATCAATTCTTAGGGCTTTTAAAAGGGATAATTCATCCAAAAATCACATTGTTTTGCTCACCCTCGGGTCATTGGAGATGTCAAATTGGCGACTTCTTTTCTTCAGTAGAAGATTTAACAAACTATGTTTTTGATCCTTGATGATTTATATAATGCAAGGCAATTAACAAAAGCAATCAGTCCAAATCAATTCCTGTGGCTCCTTATCATACACCGAGGACTTGTGTAGCAAAACAATCAGTCCATGTAGGAAACTGAACATTATTTACAATAAGCAGTTTTTGGCACATGCACAGTTTGGCACAACTCAGACGTGAGATGAACTGTGAAGATTCACAATTTTTTTTATTTATTTTTTTGACGTTCTACTGCAGATAAAATGTCATCTACATCTTCAATGGCCTGAGAATAAATTAACTATAAATGATAATTTTTGGTTGAACTATCCCTGTAATTTTGTTTTATGATTGGCTCATAAAATGACTATTAAAAATCAATTAGCTCCAATAATCCTGACATAAATGTCTTTTTAAATGTCTACAGATTTATAAAACTGATCAGAGATCAGTGCACCCACATGATTCATTCATTTCCTCTGATCATCACCCCCTGGTGGCTGACCATAAAATTTCAAAAGATTTCTAAACTTACAATGCTCATAGTTAATCAATGGGTGTAAAAGATGAGCAATGTGGGATTTCTTTACTCTGGGTTTCTTACTAACTGTTTCAAGTGTTTTAAAAAAAAGATCTTTGCTTTAGTCTTTCATGTGATGAACGAGTTGTGGTTGCTGTCATGCAGTGCAATACTTCTTTTAGAGTGAGTAATTGAAAGGATTCAGGACCTACAATAAAACTCACCTTTCCTATGAGCTTCCCCTTGCGGTTCATGCACAAGTAGTAGTTTGTTTCTTTTCCTCGTATTCTCACTTGACTCCCGAAGGTGTCTGCCTCCACCACGAGCTGGGCTTGTGAAGAAACCAAACACACAGACACAAACATGCATACATTACATGCATTGAGCTGTTTTGAGGGGATGTTTTCGTGCTTTTAGTGATTGTGGATGTAATATATTTACTATTATTTTAAGAATATATGTATTCTTTTTAATAAATTTCAAATTAATTCAATTTTTCTATTTAACATTAGGTACATCTAATTGTGTATATATAAGATAGTTTTGTTAATAAATGATATAATTTCAGGTGTAATTACTTTATTCTTAACTGAAAGAGCAAGAAACTTTTTCGCAGAATGTCTGATAATATTTTTTTCTTCTAGAAAAGGTCTTACTTGTTTTATTTTGGCTAGAATAAAAGCAGTTTAACATTTTTTTAAACACCATTTTAGAGACAAAATTATTAGCCCTTTTAAGCTATATTTTTTTCTGATGGTCTACAGAACAAACTATCGTTATACATTAACTTGCCTAATTACCATAACCTGCCTAGTTACATAGTTACACCTTTAAATTGTCACTTTAGGCTGTATAGAAGTGTCTTGAAAAATATCTAGTCAAATATTACTTAGTCATCATGGCAAAGATAAAATAAATCAGTTATTAAAGATGAGCTATTAAAACTATTATGTTTAGAAAATTGGGGGAAAATAAACAGGGGGGAAATTAATTATATATATATATATATATATATATATATATATATATATATATATATATATATATATATATATATATATATATATATATATATATACAACAGTTCTGTCTGGTTCTCGAATCTGATTGGCTGATAGCCGTGCGATATTCTGCAATATCAGAACTCCTACAGCCTCTTTACCCTTTGTGTATTACTCAAAAACATACACCCAGCAAAAAGCAGACACTACAGATCTAAAGTTTAAAAGATGCTTTTAACTGTTTTAACAGCTGTTCAACTGTCAGCTTATGATTGAATCCAAGGCGGAAGAAAATAGTTCCTCATACAAAAGGGTTTTTGAGACTCTCCATGTTTGATTTTGTTTTTATACACACAATTATGCCGTCAAACTGTTGTATAAACGCAATATCACACTCGTAGCAGTGCGATATGGCTGTATATAGACACTGGTGGGGGCACTAAGGCAAGGCAACGCAAGCCTTCCACCATACAGCCATATCGCACTGCTACTCGTGTGCTATTGCTATATATATATATTTATACAACAGTTCTGTCTGGTTCTCAAATCTGATTGGCTGATAGCCGTGCGATATTCTGCAATATCAGAACTCCTACAGCCTCTTTACCCTTTGTGTATTACTCCGCCCACATACAGCCAGCAAAAAGCAGACACTACAGATCTAAAGTTTAAAAGATGCACACTCAACTATTTAACTGTCAGCTTATGATTTGAATCCGGAAAAAAGTAGTTCCTCATACACAAGGATTTTTGAGACTCTCCATGTTTGATTTTGTTTTTATATACACAATTATGCCGTCAAACTGTTGTATAAACGCAATATCACACGAGTAGCAGTGCGATATGGCTGTATATCGGCACTGGTGGGGGCACTAAGGCACGCCTCCCACCAGTGCCGATATACAGCCATATCGCACTGCTACTCGTGTGATATTGCTCATATATATATATATATATATATATATATTATTTTAACTAATAATCAGGGCCCTATCATTCACCCGACACAATGTTTGTTGTTTGTTTGCTAGTTTCAGCTTGGCGCAAAAGTCGTTTTGACGTTTTGCGTCATGCTGTTAAAACAGCAAATGCATTCGCGCTCATATGTGCGCCCATAGGTGTTCTGGTCTAAAGAGGGAAGCGTGTTGAGGTGTATTGCTGGCGCATTGCTATTTTGAGAACCTATAATAGATTTTTCAATAGACCTGGTTTATTGTTAGCGCAGAGTACCTTAGTTATGCGCCTCGCTTACACATTGTTTAATACACAAAAGATGTAGAGCAATACGCAATAATCTTTACATATGAAAAAGAATTGAAATATTAAGAATATATATAGGATATAATAAGAATATATAGGATATAAATAAAAATGATTAAAATATTACAAAACATTATTTTCTAGCCTAAATAAATATAAAAACCACTGTCTTCTTCATCTCAGAGGGCTTTTTCAGTTGATTCATAACAATTGGCTTTTGTATAATGTTATTTTTATTAGCAGTATTATTTATTATATCCATATTTATATTTGTTTTATTAAAAACAAGCTTAGATTTGTCCACCTGTCAGGTTTTAGACCATATGGGGCACAGCATGTGTATTTGAATATAACTCAGTTTTTTGACCACACTTCGTTAATATTGTTCATTTATTCATTTGCTGGAAATTACAACTGAATTTAGAAATAGTTTTGAAACAAACCTTTGAGCTTAACAAACAAAATTAACTATTTATAGGCTAATTGATGTCTGTGCTTACAAGGTTTCCATATCCACAAGAGCGAAAGTGAAAGTAGATAATGAGAATGCAGATGCTCTGTTTAACTGTTTTCTCTCTAGTGAAGCGTTTAGTTTTTCCACGTTCAAAGTCATCATGTAAATAGCAAATGAGGCAACTGACTCGTGAAGGGAATGGGAGATGAGACTCTGTTTGGTTTATTCTTAAAACACACCTATAACTCATTAAGAAAATAAACTCAACCCTTTTAGAACATGTGCCACAGAGCAAAGTGGATTTTTCTGTCCTTATATTAGAAAAAAATGGATTTTGACACTCCCCTAATGCGTTTGTGTCCTGCGCTTTGCACTTAGCGCATGGATCGTCAAAATAGAGCCCATTTAGTTGAAGTCAGAATTAATAGCTTAAAGTATAAAAATTTAGCTTAAAGGGGCTAATAAATGTGACCATAAAATGGCTTTAAAAAATTTAAAACTGCTTTTATTCTAGCCGAAATAAAACAAATAACACTTTCTCCAGAAGAAAAAACATTATCAGACATACTGTTTAATATTACATATTTCCTTGGTCTGTTAAACATTATTTAGGAAATATTTTAAAAAGAAAACAAAATTCAAACAGGGACTAATAATTCTGACTTCAACTGTATATTATAATATAAACCACATGTGTCAAATCCAGTTCCTGGAGGGCCGCAGCTCTGCACAGCTTAGCTTTAACTCTAATTAAACACACCTGATCAAACAAATTAATTCCTTCAGGCTTGTTTGAAACCTACAGGTAAGTATGTTTAATTAGGATTGGAACTAAACAGTGCTGCGGCCCTCCAGAAACTGGATTTGACGCTTGTGAAAACTGAAATACAGAATATAATCGATTAGTTTTTTTAAAAATATAATTTCTTAAAAATAATAGAAATTAAAACAAACAATTTAAATGATTAAAAGTAGTTTTTAAGTTGAATATATAATATATTTATAGGTGTGAGTTATGATGTATTGTAAAAAAAATAAATAATTATACAAGTTATAAAACAACCATTATAAATATTTAACAAGCTCCATTTGTTTAATGTAAAGGCAGGCCAACACATTGAGATTATTTCTTACCATATTTGTCTCCATCCTCCCCCATGGCAGTGATCTTTTTGCCGAGCACCTGAACGTGTTTTCCGCTGGTTCGACTGTAGATTTGGTAAACCCGATGGTGTTTCCGGCTCAGGCCGTCCCGAACCCCAGTCTGATTCTCAACATGCACTCCAAAGTTGACATTATCCACGGCCAGCACCTGCACAAACACAGCAGCGCGTCACAAATCACTCACATTGATTTATGAACTATCAATTGATATATGGTTTTATTATCGGCAACACATGCAGACTGTAAGCACCTGTAACGGGCTGTAGAACAGTAACACGACCTGGTAGCATCTGGACAAAGAGAAATACAAAAGACATCTGTGACATTTGCGTTTGCATTCAGTCTAGTAGCTTTTCTATACTAGTTATGGGAGAATAAGTTAGGTTTATACTTTTTTCAGTTACATTTAATATTATTATTTGCCTGCTAGGTCCAAATGAAAGTATAAAGATAGATAATGGAGGATAAAACAATTGTGCATTATATTTATTTTCAGTTTGGTTGGCACATGTTAAAAGACTAAAGTTTTAGGAGATGAAAAAGATGAAAATGTTTATTTTCAGCCAAAACTGACACCACATGTGAGTGTCTGCATGTACTTAAAGATCAATGTTCAGATCTGCTATGAATTGTTAATAATACTTTCTACATATGCCAAGCAATCTCACTCACTCTCTTTTCTTAAATGGTGTCAGCCATGCATCATAATGCATCACAGGCTTACAGATCTTCTAGAAAAAAAAGTTTCCTTTAATCTTTGTTAACCAACATGCTTTATGGATTCTTTTGATTGTTCTTATAACATTCATGACTGGATGGCTTAAGTGTTTTTTGTTTTTATGTGCAAAATATATGAAGAAAAAAAAGATATACACTACCGGTCAAAATTTTGGGGTCAGGTTTTCATCATCATCAAGGTGACATTTATTAAATATAACCATTTAAAAAAATATATTTATTCAAATTTAAAAATAACTGCTTATTGTTTGTAGTTTCAAGTGTAATTATTACTCCAGTCATTAATGCTATTATTACTATTAACAATAATAAATATGATATTTAAAGATAATAATAATAATAATAATAATAATAATAATAATAAACATTAGAGTGATTTCTGAAGAATCACATGACTCTGAAGACTGGAGTAATAAAGCTCAAAATTCATCTTTAAAATCACTGGAATAAATGATTCAATTAAATGATTAACTACTTTTGAACAGTTATTTTATAGTGCAATAACATTTCACAATTTTTACTGTATTTTAATTAAATAAATGCAGTTTTAGTGAGCAGGATAAGCTT